GGCTTAGCCCTTTGTATTGATTTGAGATGCAAAGAAAAAATGGCTAGGAGTGATGAAGATTAAATCAGGCATTTTTCCTCCCTCAGTGAATAAAGGCGGGTAAATACTTGGAGAAACTGTAGCAATACTTTTAGTACACTCTACTATAATTTCTTAAACTGAAGCTTTGGTAAATGTGAAGGTCAGAGTTATCAACTTGTATTCAACTGATCTGGAATAAAACTCCCAGGGTGTATAGTGAATTTTGTACTAAAATAACACAAGAGCACATTTAAACTTATTGAGACCCCCCAAATCAAAATTCTGAAACATCCAGAAGAAAGGCTAAGTTATTCACAGTTGACTGGAAAGAGACTTGAGTTGGAGATCTGTCTACATCCTTTGCTAGCGGAAAGTCTGGGACAAACACCTTTTTTCATTATTTCATTTATCTGAAAATCAAGAGGTGGAGGAACAATATCGAGTGTTTCATTCTATTTTAACAACTTCCCAAAGCGACGTAGGATCCACTGATTAAATTTAGCACAGCCTCTTTACTTGACAAAACTTTTAAGTTCTGCCATTAATGCATGTCTCAGTACCCCAGGAGCCAGAAATCTCCTGGCTGCCTGTGTGAAAGGAAGTGGTGTTCTCAGAAAGGAGATTATGTTGACCAAAGAGCATGATTACAATGATGACAAAGAGAAGGAAGATAGGCCTTGCCTATGAACTCCCACAGAACCTGAGATCTAAGAGGCTCAGCCGGAATAATGCGGTAAGCTCTTTCTCTCAGCCACTGTAAGAATAGGCTATGGAGCAGCTTGGGGAGTTAGGCAACCTAGATTCCAAGCGTAGCATCATTGCTACCTAGCTTTATGGCTTTGGACATTATGAATCCTCCTCTTTTTTGGGGTGGGGGGCAGATTTTGCTATCAGGCACATGCACTTGCTGGAGAGACAGATAGAAAACAAGAGATCACCCCCCAGGGGGATGGTCACAGAGCAATTCCTTCTCCTCCATTCTCCTCTTGGGATTTTGGCCATGCATGCAAACACATGTGGTGGGAGTCTGAAGCCACCAGGTCCAGGGCTCTGACTGCAATCAGCCACATGAGAGTTCAGTGACATAGCCACTAGCCCATCTGCTGGTCCTCATGACTCTTAATTTCTCTGTAAATCAGAGAAAGATTAGGGGTTCTATTTAATCAAACAATGAAAGAGTCCCATGCATTCAAGTATATACTGAGAAGAGGTCCTGTCTTACCTAAACTGTGAAAAAGGGGCAACCACGATAATATTACACAGTATGTAAATCATCATGCTGTGGTAAAGATGAAATAAGCCAGCACATGCAAGGGACTTGGCACAGTTTCTGGCCCACAATAATGATCTGGTCAAATTAAGTAAAAAGCTCAGGGACTCTAGCTCATGAGTGGACGATACGGTCTTAGCAAGATGAGTTCACACAGGTTATCTGAAAGAGTGCCAGGCAGTGCCATAATAGGTTTAAACAGACTGTTATTTACAACCAGAGAAGCAAAAAGAATAACTTTTTGATTGTATTACCTATATCAGGAAATTAACATCAAAACAGTTAACAATGAACAGTGATATTATTTTTTAAAATCTGCAAATTTGAGGAGAAGCAGGTGGCATGGTGGTTAGACACACGCATGGCCAGCTGCACTTTGAGTCCCAGACCCAGCGACTTGATAATCATGCTAGGCACATGTGTGTGTACCCAGAATCCTAGGAGGAGAAGGGAGAAGGGATAATGGTATGGCCATGGCTCCCAGGGTGTGACTTCTCACTGTTTCTCTTTGCCACACTCCAGTGGCTCCCTAAGGCAAAAGTCATTAAACAAAACAAAACAAAAGAAAAAAAAAGAAAGAAAAAGAAAAGAAAAGAAAAACAAATTTGCAAATGGTATTAAAATCTTCTGTTGTTCCATTCATATCCTTTTTGTAGTACAGATTCAATCAATAGTCCCATAACGTTTGATAATAATTGCCCTTTAGACTCTTCTAGTCCAGAACAGTTCAGTTCCTTCATCTGTTTTTCTCATGATTATTTGCAGTTATTTTGTAAAATGTCTTTCAATTTGGATTTGTTTTAGCCAGTTATTTTGTAAAATGTCTTTCAATTTGGATTTGTCTAACACTTTCTTATGATTACACTGAAGTGCTAGTTTTATGGCAATCAGACCTCAGAAGTGACGCGGTAACCTTTTTCACTTATCATCTCAGGAGGTAAGTGATGCCCTCAAGTCTCATTACTGGGGACAGTAATCTTTTTTTTTTTTCTGAGACTTTTTTTGCTACAGTGTACATGCACTCACTGGAGAGACATAGAGACAGAAAACAAGAAATCACCACCCAGGGAGGATGGGCACACTTCAATCCCTTCTCCTTCATTCTCCTCTTGGGATTTTGGGCACACATACACATGTGCTTGGCATGAGTTTTAAGCTGCCACGTCTGGGATTAGAACCACGGTCAACAACATAGGCGTCCACCGAAGTAACCATCACTCCATCTGCTGTTCCCAGTAATCTTGAACACTCAGTGAAGGTGGTAACTTCCAGGTGTATTCTCCTATGTAATTAAAATGTATTTTGATGGAAGATATTTTGGAACTGTGCAAGTATCTTATTTCTCATCATACTTTAGCCCAATAATTTTAGCGTCCATTGATAGTTCTTACCTAAAACAATGATTACTGAGGTCTTTGCACCATACCGATATGTGACATTTTCACCTGCTCTTGCATTTGCTTGTTCAATTCCATCACTTACTTACTTTCGTGGGACTCACAGTTACCTTGTAAGTTATGATCCATTACATTCCCAGAATTGGCCAATGGGATCTTCACCAAGTTGGTTCCTCTGCTCCTCTATCATGATCCCATCAGTTTTTGAGGACATTCTTACTTTCTGGCAGAACACGTCTCAAGCTCATCTTGAATTTGGATTTAAGAATTTCTCTAGGGAGCCCTGATTCTTTTTACTGGGAAATGGTATTGCTAATTAAGAGCAGGGGCTTCAATGTGCTAATTTCTACTAGGGTATCATTGTTCCTAGGCACTCTTAGGTGACACAGTGAGGCAGTATAGGTACGCATAGGTACACACACATAACTACTGGGTCATCAGAAAAATCATGCAGTATTTTTTCTATATAAAAATGCACCATGACTTTTCCAACAACCCAATATTTCTGTATCTATTTTTTTTTATCTTTTTTTTTTGGAGAGGTTTTCACTATAGGGCGCATGTGCTCGCCAGACAGAGAGATAGAAAGTGAGAAATCACCCCCCAGGGGGGATGGTCACGCCGCAATCCCTTCTTTTCCATTCTCCTCTCGGGATCTTGGGCACGCATGCACACGGGCCCGGCGTGAGTTTTAAGCCACCGGGTCCGGGACGCAAACCGCGGTCGACTATGTGGGAGTCCAGCAACATATAGCCATTACGCTAACTGCTGGTTCCCTCCATATCTATTTGTATGAGTTCAGCTGATACGTTGTATTCTAGTCCAACATACCAGGATTCATTCTAGCTTTTCCCACTATCTTATTATCCTTTTCTTTCTCTGATGCTAAGAAAACTGGCTCTCAGTAGCCATAGTATGTTTACTGATTATCTCAGTCCTACCAGATATATAAATTAGTTTGAGAATTGTGAAAAAGTTACAGTTTACTAGCTATTTGTAATATATGTGCTTAGTTATTTTTATCTCCAGCCTTATGTTACATAATTAAATACCATTTTTCAAAATAGCTTGCATTCTTTTTTTTTTTTTTTTCCTTTTTCTCCTCCTTTGGTGTGGTTATGTCACTCATCTGTAATACAGTTAGGATTACGGGATTACTTACTACTGTCTATTGACTTTTGCATTACCTACACATTCCAGTTTATATTTTTGGTTTCAGTTTTTGGTATGTGAAGCATTACGGTGCCTTTAGAATCCATCAGGGCTATGCAAAAAGATTTCAGAGAAGTGGGGTGCCCTCCTCGTGACTTTTAATCTTTGTGCCCATTTTTCTACTTCCTCTTTTAAGTAACCTAAGAATTTATTGGGCCCAAAAAGGCAAGGCTCTTTGCATCGTCTCCCTTTACCCTTTCTTAGTTTAACTTGAGACATCCTTCACCCTTCAGAGCCTACAACTTCCAGTAGTTTGGCCTTTCTTAAAAACGAGCAGTTTGTGTGGTTCCCATGTGCACAGATTTGTCGTGGTGAGCATGGTAAACCAAAAGCTGCTCTGTTCTTCTGGAAGTCCTCGCCAAGAGCACTCAGGACCTGACAAGTTGGCAAAAATGGGCTGGAAACTGCTGGCTGTGAGTGCAAAGACCCCAGGCTGAATGGCTCCAGAAACCTGAACAGGAATTTGATTATTTAAGACCTCACCAATCAAGAATGTCCACAAGATGATCACACCCTCTTGAAACAATCACTGACGTGATCACATGTCTGGGACCCCTACCCCTAATTTAGCCCCTAAAAATGGGGGGGAACACCTTGGGGAGGTTGTGTCTTTTCAGCATGAGTTGCCCACTCTCCTTACTTTGTGCTTTGCAATAAAGCTGGACTTCCCTTCATCAAAAAAAGAAGAAAAAAAAGAAAAGAAAGAAAAATGTATTATAGAGTAATGATTTTCAAGAAGTTTAAAACCTGAGATGTGGTTGGTGCGGCCAAGCACAATCACTGCTTGGATGAACTTGGGTGCCCATGGCAGCTGGCTCTTCTTTTCCTCTCCCACACCCACCTATATTCACCAGGGGAGAATGTGGCATTGTGCAGAAGCCTCTTTAGGGTAAGCAATGGCTAAACCACAACCCCCACAAATGCCTGTATCTATGTACGCATTCATTCATTCTGCTAATCATGCATTGATTCAACCACCGAAATCACAGAATCCACCAGGTACCACCCCTATCCCAGAGTAAATAACAACGAAGCTATGTAACTTTGGAGACACAGCTGAAAGGCAGGATCCCCCAAAGAAAGGCTAATGGCTGACTCACCATTGAAATTCACGTTGCGGATATACTTCAACAACTTCTTGCCCCCAGCTTGCTCCATCTCTGGGCAGACGCCGCGGTAATCAGCACAGAGATCCTTGTTCATATGATGCAGAGCATGAGCCATCGCGTAGACCGCGTCGATCACGAACTGAACTTTACCCTCCTGCTCATAGTTGGAATCTTTTCCAATCCTCTCCTGTCCTGCACATGAAAACAAGAAACACACACGAAGACTGGTGTTGAGTAGAAGGTCTACATGTGCACTTCCTTGCAATTCAGCTTAAAGAAAACACTTAGAAAACAGTCACACGGCACGTTCACACCATTTGGCTACCACGCTAGGCTCAACAGTTTTTAGGATTTTATTTTGAGGCACATCACACTAACATTTCCGGTGTATTAAGTCAACTTTTAGAAACAGTACGCCAAAGGATTGCAATGAAAGCTTTTGTCATAGGCCAACGCATTATTCAAAATACAGAGGTCCCACAGAATTGAAGGAGGTTTTGAATTAGAAGTGGAGTTATTGTTACATTCAAATCTTCAAGCTGGTTTACTTTACAAAGGTCGGAAGGAAAATGACAGAAAACAAGCTTAACTTTACAAATGAACTCATTCGCTTCTACGCAGTTACCCCAATTCACCTCCCTAGTGAATTGGGTTGTATGTCTCAGCTGGTATTACTGAGGGCTGAGCTGTTCAGTGTCCCAGGGTTCTTTATTTTTTCTTTGCTCTTACCTCCCCTGCCCCTCCCCTCCTCCCATACATCAGTAAGTCCTATGAATAGCTAAGTTCTTCCACTTCTTCCACTGAAACTCCAGGGATCTTCCGAAGCTCTACCAATGCCCTGTCTGTGCCTTTCCCATCTTCCATCAGGCTTCATGACTAGGTATCTCCCTTCGCCCACTCATTCTCCCATGTTCGTCTGTGTGAACATCAGCACTCTCCACTGCCTACAAAATAAAATGCAAATCCTTCCCCCTAACAGTGAGCGTTCCTAATTTTGCCCCCGTCTGTGTAACAGTGATGACAACTGACATACATTATGTGCCCCCATGGTGCTGGAAACTTTGGCTAGTGTTTTGACGTCATCCTCACCTTGTTATAGGGCACGTGTGCTCGCCAGAGAGACAGAGAAAGACAGAGAGACAGAAAGCGAGAAATCAACCCCCAGGGGGGTAGGCCACACTGTAATCCCTTCTCCTCCATTCTCCTCTAGGGATCTTGGGCACGCATGCACACGCACCCGGCATGAGTTTAAGCCACCGGGTCCAGGACTCGAACCGCGGTCAACTACATGGGAGTAGAAGGTCTACATGTGCACTTCCTTGCAATTCAGCTTAAAGAAAACACTTAGAAAACAGTCACACGGCACGTTCACACCATTTGGCTACCACGCTAGGCTCAACAGTTTTTAGGATTTTATTTTGAGGCACATCACACTAACATTTCCGGTGTATTAAGTCAACTTTTAGAAACAGTACGCCAAAGGATTGCAATGAAAGCTTTTGTCATAGGCCAACGCATTATTCAAAATACAGAGGTCCCACAGAATTGAAGGAGGTTTTGAATTAGAAGTGGAGTTATTGTTACATTCAAATCTTCAAGCTGGTTTACTTTACAAAGGTCGGAAGGAAAATGACAGAAAACAAGCTTAACTTTACAAATGAACTCATTCGCTTCTACGCAGTTACCCCAATTCACCTCCCTAGTGAATTGGGTTGTATGTCTCAGCTGGTATTACTGAGGGCTGAGCTGTTCAGTGTCCCAGGGTTCTTTATTTTTTCTTTGCTCTTACCTCCCCTGCCCCTCCCCTCCTCCCATACATCAGTAAGTCCTATGAATAGCTAAGTTCTTCCACTTCTTCCACTGAAACTCCAGGGATCTTCCGAAGCTCTACCAATGCCCTGTCTGTGCCTTTCCCATCTTCCATCAGGCTTCATGACTAGGTATCTCCCTTCGCCCACTCATTCTCCCATGTTCGTCTGTGTGAACATCAGCACTCTCCACTGCCTACAAAATAAAATGCAAATCCTTCCCCCTAACAGTGAGCGTTCCTAATTTTGCCCCCGTCTGTGTAACAGTGATGACAACTGACATACATTATGTGCCCCCATGGTGCTGGAAACTTTGGCTAGTGTTTTGACGTCATCCTCACCTTGTTATAGGGCACGTGTGCTCGCCAGAGAGACAGAGAAAGACAGAGAGACAGAAAGCGAGAAATCAACCCCCAGGGGGGTAGGCCACACTGTAATCCCTTCTCCTCCATTCTCCTCTAGGGATCTTGGGCACGCATGCACACGCACCCGGCATGAGTTTAAGCCACCGGGTCCAGGACTCGAACCGCGGTCAACTACATGGGAGTCCAGCGACATAACCATTATCCCAACTGCTTGACCTGTCATCCTCACCTTGTGAAGCCAGTGTTTCATACCCTTGTTATATGGAAGGGAGAAGGAGCTTCCCCAAGGTCATTTGCAGATGGCTCGACGGCTCAGAGTTATCGGACTCCAAAGCCCACACTGGTTTCCTCTTTGCATTGTCTTTCCTCTTTGTTTGTACTCATCCTGACTCAATTCCCTCTCTATGACACACCCAAAGGCTTCCTACACTCAGCTCCTTAATTTCAACTCAAGATGTCCAAAAAACATTTCGTCCTTTGGAACATTATTGATAGTACACTATTTTAATGATTCACAGTAGATGTCTCAGGTATTTTTCTTCTTCTCTTCCCCCTCCATATCCCCAGCACTGAATACAGCATTTAGTTTCTAGTGGAGACGAACAGCACTTGTACTAAATTATGTATTTCTTACGTACCTCGTACCAGCGGCTCTCTCCAGATCCCGTTCCTCTGTGAAGAATAACTGCCCACAGACTGGACTTCCTTCTCCTAACAATATTCCCCTCATTGTTTCCTATGGAACATTTGTGTGCTGAAGAAACAACAGGAAATCTACAACCCCAACCTCTTCTGCAAAATACGACAAGGGTGGCTGACAGCCACTGTGTTCAATTTTTTTTTTTTTTTAACGGATCCTTTTCTGAGCATTTAACATTATAACATAAAATATCTCCAAAAGGGGAATTTTGAATTTCCCCAAATAAATTTGTATTTTTCCTTTTCAAAGCATGCATTAACATCGCATATGCCAGAGACATCTATGTTTTGTAAGTATTTCATTTAAATATCCATCAGTCTTATGCTTACTACTTGCTACAAAATCTAGGAAGTTTTAAAGACAAAATTTATCATGAATTCATCCTGCTACTTCTCATTCAAATTCAGGACCGCAGGGCTTTTTCTTTAAGAATGTTTTATTTATTACCGTTATTATTTTTCAATTTACCATAGGGCACATTCCCTCATCAGAGAGAGAGAGAGAGAAAGAGACAGAGACAGAGACAGAGAGACAGAGATAGAGACAGAGACATACAGAGAGAGGGAGACAGAGAAGAAAGAGAGAAGGCAAGCTGCCAGGTCCAGAACTTGAGCTGCAGTCAGCCATGTGGGAGTCCAGCACCTTTACCCACCACACCACTTTAAGGCCCAGAACTTTAGGGCTTTATTTGCACCTTAATTTTGGCCTCTTTTTTCTCATGAGGAAAATCCTGGTTCTTCATGCTATTGTTAAGATTATTGACTTGTTTGGGGTTGGCAGGTGGCGTAGTGGTTAAGGGTGCTGGAGTCCTACATGGCCGATCACAGTTCGAGTCCCCAACCTGGGGGGTTGCTTTCTCACTTTCCCTCCTTCTCTCTTTCTCTTTCTCACTCTATCTATCTCTGGTCAAATTAAAATAAATAAATAAATAAAGTTAAATAAAATTATTCTTTAAAAAAAGATTATTCACTTGTTTTATCCCATAATATATAGATAACATTCTTAGAATAACAATTATCTCTGACAAATAATATAAAAAGCATAGTTTAATGAATAGCTTGTACATCTTTTTTTTTCTTTTTTTTAAGTTTTTGCCTGAATATTTTTGGGGTAGATTCTAAGAAAAAGTTTTGTAAGCTTTGTTGAAGGGTAAATTCACATGTATTTTATTACAATATATTGGTAAGTTCTCACCTAAAGAACTATACCATTTTGCTATCCGACCCATAATGTGTGGGGGTGTTTATCCCCATAACTTTTCCAACACAGCATATCATCAAACCTGAATTTGTGTCAATCAGGTATGTGAAAAGTACTACCAGAATGTATTTTTACTTGCATTTTTCTTACTATGCTAGAAATTGAACATTCTTGCATATGGAAAGGTACAAACTACTCCTCTTTAGGCAAGCTGCTCATAATCTAGTCAATAAAATGTCACTGTTCCCTTACTTATTTTTAAGAGTTTTGTTAATTAGATACAAATATTAATCACTGATACTAAGTTGCAAATATTATCTCCAGTTCATCCATTTGCTTCTACTTTATTTCATGAAAGAGGAATCGTGCCTTTCTACATCCTTCTCCAGATTCCCAGTCAGCTAGGAACACAGGTGCGCACAGGCATTCCCACACACGCAGGTCCACCAGGAACCCAACCCTGGACCTCCCATGTGGCCCCAGTGTCGTGTAGCAGCAACCCACCAACTGCACTATAGTGACTGGGCCTTTTTTTAACATCATTAAGTATTTTCCCCAAATATGATTGTTAGATTATTTTTTTTTCTAATGTTGATCTATTTTCCCCTGAATTTTTGAAGTTTGAAGCATTGTTTAAAAATTATAAATCCCTATCACCAGAGTATAGATGATTTCACCCATATTTTCTATATGTACATGCATAATTATGTCTTTAAAGTGTAACATTTGGTCCATTTGGAATGTATCTTGTGTGTAGTGCAAGGAATGAGTCAAAATTGTATTATTTTCCATGTGACTATTCAAAGCATAACCATAGCACGTTATATTTGTAATATACAACAGTTCATCTTCTCTCAAATTTGAGGGGCCATCTTTATTTTATTTCTTTCATAAAAGAGACAGAAAGTGAGGAGGAGGGAGGGATAGAGGCATAGCGCTTTTTTTTTTTTTTTTTTGAGAGAGAGAGAGAGATTCTTGCTATAGGGTGTGTATACTCACCAGAGAGACAGAAAGCGAGAAATCACCCCCTAAGGGGGATGGCCACACCGCAATCTCTTCTCCATTCCCATCTTGGGATCTTGGACACACATGCACACATGTCTGGTGTGAGTTTTAGGC